TTTTCCTTGAATTCAGAAAAATGGAATCTTGTACAATTTGGATGGAAAATTAAAACTGAGTCAAAGAAACATCTGACTTAATTATCCATGCCTCTTAATAGGAGCACCCTTAACTGGGTGCTCAGGATGTAAAGAGCAATTACAGCAATCTACTAGCAAGAAAATAGACCGCATGTAGAGTAGGAACCAGAAATATATTATGTTAACACATAGTAAAAATAAAATGATCAGTATGAAAAAGACAAAATAAATTGGCTTAGATTTCACTCCCCAAGGCTGACTGCACTGTTTCCTGTAGCTTGACTATTCATGAACTTTCTAGTCATTCCAAATTTGTTACTGTCCATGCTTGTTTCATCCCTGTTACAGTCATTACGTTTATTATTTTAGCTGCTTTTATCCAAAGCATATGTTGCCAATGGCCTTCTTATCTTCAGTGCCTTCAATTACACAATGTAGCATGGTACCTGGCAATTCTGAGGCAAATGTATCTTGGATAATAGGTTACAAATGAGAAATGAATGCTCTGGGACATCTTAATAGCTCATTTCCCCCCATGCTTCCTGCCAGTGTGCCTCTGCATGTCTCATATGTGTATCCAAATAGATCAAGATATCAGTCAGTATATTCACTAAATTAAGCTGATAGCAAGAAAATAATAAAAAATGCTGAAGCTTGTTTATTGAACAGCAAAACTTAAGTGGCAGTGATTGAAAGCTGCCTTAAATAGACCAGAAGGTATTTCATTTTAACAAGTCAGGAAGGAAATGGTAAAAGAAATAAGTATACTCTGATCTTCAAAAAGAGTTTCTTCAGGGAAAGGGGTGAGTGTTCTGTTCTCAAAGGTTAACAGCCTCATTAGGTAACCTGATCACTGATTTGTGAGTAGTTTCTTTCCGTCGTTCTTTCCTTCCTTCCTTCCTTCATTCCTTCCTTCAACACAAAAGAATAAAGCTGTGCTTCTGCAGCTGTGAAATCACTGGAAGTTTTGCTGTGGAATTAAATGTGGGAAGGACTTTGGTAGTCACTTGTGTTTGGTGAGTGAATAAGCAAGCACTGAAAGCACCGCTGTCCTGGCATCACTAATATATGAATACCATGAACAGAAGCCAGGGCAAACAAAGCAAAGAAAACTAATCCCCTTCCTGGCCACAGGAACATGCAAGTGGGTCTGTGGAGGAAGAGCTCGACTGTCTTCAGCAGCAGCCAAAGCAGAGCCTGCCATGCAGTGAGATGCCAGCAAACTGTCAGAGCACAGGCCCCCGCGCCAGCTATTTCACGGTTTATGATGATGCATCAAGCACCATGACCCACCACGTCACCCAGATCCTTTCCCACAGCATATTTCAAAGTGCGTGCCAGGCAAATTTCTTACAGACACAGTGACCTGAGAGTAGACAAGGACCTCAGAAAGTCACTTGTGATGTCCTTATAACCATTCTGTGCTCCAGCCTAAACTCTGGGGAATCACTGACAAGTTATTTACTCCATATAGGTACAGAATTTTGGGCTTGAGCCATTTGCAGAATTTTGGGCTTGAGCCATTTGCATTAACATTTCTGATGATGAATTACAGCCTTAATTTGTCAACTCTGATTTGTCTCTTAATGTACTCTCTCAGCCTCTGAAGCTCAGTGTAAGGAACTAAAAGAAGATATTTTTGCAAGGCAGAGTGGCAAGCCACTGCTTTCCTCTTCACTGTGTTCACATCTAATACAGGTGCTGTGATGCACAGTCCTGGATAAGAATATAGGCTCAAAGTATTTCCTGAGTGATTTAAATAATTTGGATGATATGAACACAGGGTGTTTGTGCTTCATGTTCTACAAAGTTAATGTACATATGAGCAAAGGGTGTTTGAAACGCTCAACAGTAATTGATCTTTTCTTTTCTGGTGCAAATTTCTTTGCTTCCATGATCTATGTACTGTAAAATCTTCAGATGTTTTAATCCCTGCTCTGGACTTCCTGGTATCATAACAAATAGATTAAATGAAAAGTCTTGTTTTCTCTCTGCTCATTTAAGAAATTTGTCTTTTGATTTTGATATTGCTTACTTTTGATTTTGTATTGAGAAGCTTAGACATAATGAGAAATGAAGAGGCAGTTAAAATAAGACTTGGGACCTCAGCTCTGAGCTCTGTTAGCCCTGGACTTGTCTCATGATGTTACACAAGACTTTGGGAATACTTTGCTAAATTTTCATGAAATGTCAAGTTTGAAGAAATCTTTGTGAATAATGAGAAATTGATTTCATGATACTTTGATATTGAGCTCACAGGTGGCACCTGTTATTTTAGATTTCAGACTGCGATCACAGCAGATGAAATCTCAAAAACTACAGCAAAATAAAAGGCTCTACTGTTTTACCATTCTTTCCAGATTTTTTTGAAGACAAGGATTAGGCTTAGATTAGACCACTCCATAGCACAACTGTGAAAAGCAAGGGAGTAAAACTTAAAGAGTATTTTGCCGCAGGCTCATTTTTTCTTGAGTGAAGCTGAGTGTAAATTTGGCAGGAAAAGAAGGTTAGATAGTAATAATCTAATTTAGAACCCAAAATGTATATTAATTTGTCTCCAGTTTGGCATGAACTTGGGGCCAGTTTCAAAAGGTTCCTGCTGCTGGGGTTTCTAGTTGACCAGTAATGTTGAAATGTATCCAGTAACTGTTGTCCAGCTAACCAGGTGGAACTTAATTGCTCTTTGTTTCCCAGTTTCCCATGTGACATTGCTAACAGTGAATGTCTCATTTAAAGCTCATTGCAGCAAAATGACTCAACCAATATCAGTACATTCCTGCTCCTGGATGTGCTTTAAATAAAATCAGCAAGGATCCCCAGATATTACCTTGTATTTCTCTGGGATTCCAAAGTCAGACCATTAAAATAATGAAAGGAAAAAATATGAGAGTAGAACCAACTTCCTGTCTGGAAGCAATAAATCACTGTCTGTGACCCTTTCTTGTGACTGACCCAGGTCTAAAGAGCAAATCCTGTGTGTTCCCAGGAGAGAATCAACCAGCTCCTAATTACATCTTCAAGAATTGGGTGGTAGCTTCACTAGGAGCTTGTAATTGAGATGTCCACCCATGGGACTGGGACAATTTCCCAGCTCAGTCTCACTTTCTACTGCTGAATGCTGGGAATAGCATAGTCCTCAAGTGCTTTTCGCTGTGATTTCAACATTGCTGATTTGAATGCTCCCTAGAGTCTGTTACCTTGGGAAAAGACTGTTTCCCTGTCCCGTCTCCAGATGCACAGCCTCACCAGTCAGTATTCAGCTGCTTGCTGCTGTCTGACTCTGGCTGGGTCAGTAAGGGTGATCCTTCAGGCTCTGTTTCCTCTCTGCTTTAGTTCCCTGCCTTGCTTCTGAGGAGATGCATTTTCTCACATACATCCCCAGCTGAAAGAATATAATTCACCCTTTGTTTATAACCTTTCTGTTGGCAAACACAACAGTGGGGGTTTTTATTTTGATTATGGTATTATATGGAATAGTATATCTGGATTAATATCTAAATCTGAGCTAGAAGACTACTCTCACTCCTTAGAAAGTTTTCAGTTTTTCCATTCTTATTCTCCCCACGTGAAAGATTCCCATTCTTCTAGACCAGTTTGTCATGCTGTACAGCACACAATGTTCTGCTTTTCCAGCTTCAAAGCTCTGGTAGTATGTTTATGGAGGGGTTTGTCACTGCCTGGTCTGTTCACATTGCTGGAGTGGACTACACTGACTGGATCCAGCTATCGAATCCTTTGAGCATGTAAATGCTGGAAAGGAACTGCCTTGCTCCTATGAGTTGGAAGAATATTTCCTGAGTGTTAGCCCTCAACCTGACACCTCTTTGCAGTGGTCCATTATCTTTTTCTTTTCACAGATGTAGAAAATACTTTGAAGCTAGATTCAAAATCTTGTGATCCAGTTCATGAAATATTTTGACCAACTGTTTTGACTGCTAGGCTGTGGGAGTGGTAAGCACAGTCTTAAAGGAAAGCCTGGAAACTTTTGAAGCTGGTCATTTCTGTTGCCCTGATCTAGTACAGATCTTATACAGAGCTGCAACCTTTCTGCAGATAAGTCACTGCACTGCAGAGCTCTACAGGGCTGAGCAGCCGTTACTCCTCCCATTGTAACTGAACCAAACCATGCCTGCAGCCAATACACAACAGAGAATTTATTGACTGTCTCTGGAATTAAGCAATTCTGTTAATTGTCTTCATTTTCCAGGACTCTGTCATTCTTTTCCTGAACCATTAGTGGCACATCTATTTGTGTGCCAGCATGAGCTGCCTGGAAAGAAAAAAAAAAGCTAAAATTGAACAGCAAATGAATCAAAGACAAGGACAGACACCTCTCAGAGCTAATTGCACTCAGATACCCTGGGGAGTCCTTTTCAGCTCCCACAGCTCTTTTCCCTCTTTGCGGCTTTGTTTTGAGGAAGCTCTATTAAGCAACAAGACATTCCTAAACAACATCAGTGAGTCAAAAGACTCTCTAGCCATACCAAACTCTCAAGCAAGGACTTCTTGCATTATTTTTTTATTTCCATGGGTCAAAAGATTGGGGTGGCTCTGCTTTTCCCATCTAGAAAAGCGCATTAAGGAGGACTAGGACATTGGTGGGACATAAAGAAGTTTGTTCTGCATAGTTTGTTCTTTTATTAAGTTGGTTGGTTTGGTTTTTTTGCCTTTTTTTTTTGCAGCCTGGATGTTAATGCCTGTACCATTTCCTACAATGGACATGTGGTCTGAACTTGGACATGTTTTAGGTAAATACAGTGGGAATCAATAATTGCAAGTTGTCTACATAGAGTTCCTAGAAAAGAAAGTCACTCAATATTTTTAATACATCAAACTCATGACACTCAGCATACACATTATGTCTTATTTACATGTCAGTTATCCATACTTACTTGAAGTCTATGGTATCACAAATACATCCAAAAATGTATTTCTGCTTCAATATCTCTTTGATCAGAAAAAACCAGTAACTTCCATACACAGGATTAATTGTATTTTATAAGTGAGGTGATTCTAGCACAGTTGTGATCCTACAAAAATACAGTGCTAGAGTATAGTACACATTTTGAAAAAAAACCTTATATCTGGGGGCGAACAGTCCTCTGGCAGTTTTGGGATACCATCCAGCATTTTCAGATTTGGCAAACTGGAGAACACACTTAAAGAGAGAAAAGAAAAAAAGAAATTGAGAGAAATACTCTCATGAAATGTTGAGAACAAAATACACACTGATAAAAAGCAAACAGAGGGTTTAAACATATCCAGAATAGATCTGTATTGTTGGAAATCTTGATTTGTCTTTTGTTGCAGAATTTGTCTGACAAAAAGCTAATTAAAAATCTTCAGTTTTCGATCTGTTGCATAAGTTTTATATCATAGACTCAGTAAAGCACTACAGGTATTTACATTTTTAATAGAGTAGAACCAAACCAGTTTTCTAATGCAAAAGAGAGGACACAGTGTTAGCCTAGACTAAATTTCCTAGACTGCTGAAAAGCAAAGATTTAGATCACAAGAAGTGCAACTCAGCTTTTATCCTTCTGTGACAGAGAAACTAGGCTCTCTGCAAAGCTTTTTGCACCTCTATTTCTCCCAAAGTAAAAATGTTGCAGTTTTGTCAGCCAAACTGATGCCAAACTGAAATGAATGGCTCTACCTCCTAATAAACCGTCTATTTTATGCAGCACATTGGTCACTCTAACCTCGGTCATAGGGACTGTGGTTTTCTTCTTCAGAAGAAATGGGACCAAGCTGGAGCATAGGAGGTTCAATCTGAACATATGGAAAAACTTTTTCACTGTGAAGGTGACAGAGCACTGGCCCAGGCTGCCCAGAGAGGTTGTGGAGTCTCCTTCTCTGGAGACATTCAAAACCCGCCTGCACGCTTTCCTGTGTGACCTGGTCTGGGTGATCCTGCTCTGGCAGGGGGGTTGGACTGGATGATCTTTCGAGGTCCCTTCCAACTCCTAATATTCTGTGAAGAGTCTGATGGAGTTGTACCCCACCATAAGCATCACACAGGGTGTTAACCAACGTGCTATGGCATTTGCTCCTCTGCCTTTTGAGCTGAGCGTGGACGCCAGTGCTCAGTCTCAGCATGTAACTCAGCGCTTTATCTATGCTTGAAAATGACTCATTCCAATGCTGTCAGTGAAAGTTATACCAGAGTTATCTGTATTTAATTGCCTTAGGAACTGGCAGGATTGGAGCAGAAACATAATTAGTAACTGTTAAAAAGTGCTTTTCAGCTTTTCTTGTCCTGAAACTTTTTATATTTATATAAAATGTGAAATCCATTATTTTAAATTTACTTTTTAAATTTCACATTGATATCTGCCTATCTACCTCTAGAAAGCACAAATATCACCATCACACTGTCAAAAGGATTCCTACTAGACTGAAGGAAAAAGCCTACTGGAAACTCAGAAAGGCTTTCATTAAACACTATTTTTCTTTCTTCCTCCTAGGAAGAGATGATTTTTTAGACACATGCTATAAGGTTTATCTCGCAAATGTCAACAATGCCTTCTGCAGAAGCCTGACATGCCTCTGTGTTTATAGTGAGGAAAAAGATGAATCCATACAGATTTCTGAAGAGTTCAGAAGGAACGTGCTTTGTTTTCCTCTCTGACCTGTGCACAATACTTTCCCTGGCAACAGGATTGTGAAGTCAAGGCAACTGGGGAAGAATGGAATAGGGGTGTGAGTGTCAAAACATGCACGAGACTTGAAATAAATTATCTTCCTCAGATTCTCTGTTCTATCTCGGATTTCGATTTTCAGTCTCCAAAGGCAGCTCTGTTAAGTCTATGCTACACTGCACTGCCTGCAACGTATACCTACACTGAGTGGTCTGTTCAAGGCAGTGCAACTTCCACAGTGCTGCCACGGAGAGAGGAGAGAATCTAGAAAAATCAAATGAAGGTAACTTAGTTTGCTCTTTCTTTAGCTCTCATCTTTCAACACAACCGTCTGACTCCATCTCTGACATGTAATTCAATTTAGACTCCTTTCAGAATACATGAGAGATGCAATGAGACTAAAGAGAGTTTGAGTAATAGGTAGTTTCTATTAATAAAAAGGAATCTAATTTATCTGCTCTACTCACTGTCTCTAAACTTGATCCATGGACTTAGCTCAGTTCAAGAACTGCCAGTCATGTGATTAGAAAGCTTCCTAGGCAGTTTCTGAATATTTTGTGGCCATTACCAAATACTGGCTCACCAGCCCATGTTCCTGAAGCACTTATGATAGTTGAGACTACGGGAAAATAAAAAGATTGCTCAGGAGAGCTTTTTGTATTTGAGATCCTCTTCCTTTTGAACTCTCTCACAAACATTTCTTTGTGTTGATCAGCTTTTGTTGGCCATGAGATGGTAAGACTTACAGTTGTCTGTATCTTCCTTGAAACTCACAGGGATTCCTCTTGAGTATAAGGGATTCAAGTGGAGTATGTCTGAAGTCTGATATTCCACTTAGTGTCATAATGTTATTTTCAGCAAGTGATAAGTGCTGAATCTGAGGTATCTTTGGCAACTGTTTGAAGGATGTAAAGTGGTTTTTACTGACATTTAGTTCTCTGCATCTGTAAAGTATAAAGCATATGACATCACTGATCACATCTGTAACAGTATACACCTGCAAGCTAACACAGGGATGGCTCTTCACATGGTCAAAGTCATGGCAACTTAGGGCTTCCAATGAGAGAGACAAGAATTTGATTTCTCGAGACCTGCTTTCACACTACTTTTACATTTGTGTTATTTTTGCCTACCCATGGACTGCAAGATCGGATCCCTACACTTTATAATCTCAGCTTTCTTTATCTTGTACAATGGATACATAATTATTCCTGTTCTCAATATTACAACTTCACATATACCTAGACATGTGACAACATAGTAGCAAAGATGGATTGTAAAAATACACTTTTCATGGTCACACCTGGCCTCTCTGCTGGGCTCATGTTCCACCATCTCTTCATATATGTTCCTTCAGTTTTCAACAACTTCCCCTTTTTGAAAAATATCACTAAACTAAACTTAATTATCCCTCAAGAATAAAGGAACCATCAACCGATCTCCTTACGGAGTATTTTCAACTCTGGAATGACATGAATTCAGAATAGCAATATACTGTTGGATTCTGAACATAATACTCCCCAAAACAACATATTTTGGCAGTTCTCAAGAGTTTGATCCACTTATTACTTAAGGAAATTACAGGTTTGAATTCTACGATATTGGGTAAAATAGAAACAGGACATTTTGTTTACCTTGGCAACCTTATGGCACTTAGGTCTGTCAAAGAATTGTCAACCAACCAAAGTTTTTCCACCCGAATCAATCTTTGGAGAATCCTTTTGAAATTTTCTGCCTGGTAAAGATCACCCAGGTCCTGAAATGAAAGGTTCAACTCCTGGGAAAGGAAAAATAAGAGAAATCCCTTACCTTTTTTCTTGCTTTCTAATAATGGTATAATTAAATCTTTTCAATGTCAGCATTAGTTAAAAGGTGAATCGGTTTTATTATGATGCTCTTATACCAATTCGTGGTGCCAATCGCCAAATTAATCTTAGAATCATAGTGATGGACTGCATAATTCATTGAAAGTAAAGAATGAAGAAACCATCTCTTAAGCATATGAATCTTACTGCTCAGCTTTTCCTCCCTCTTAGAGTGGACATGCCTGTGTGGGACGCCTGGGTAGAGATGGCTGGACTAAGTAATTGTGACTTATTGGTTTGGCCTCTAAATTCATCTGGAAAAAAAGTGCTGTGCAGCAGCCAGATATCAATATTCTCCAGTGTTCGTGCACAGGGAAAGGCATGTTTCTTCCAGCTTGTAAAAACCTTCTGTTTTGCAATGTCATGGTGCCAACCTAAGCTTTAAAACTGCTAACTGCAAGGAGCAGCTGGCACATTATTATTTAGCTTATTTACTACTACATTAAAAAGAGTTAATGAGAAAGTTTTACAGCACAGTTTTCCCAGTTCTCTTGAAGTTTCTTTTGCCATTTCTCTGTGTCAGTTACTTGTTTTCTTTTTTTCAAAGAATGTTCTTCTCCTCTGAAAAATAGCTCTTCTTCTGAGGGCCCTGGTCAGAAAAAAAGATTTACAACAGTGGATGTGATATGAAACTGGCACTTAGTTACTTGCTGAAAGATTATCTATATGGCAGAGAAAATATCTGAAAAGAAGAAATATATACAATATTATAGGTTCATAGGTTTCCAGGCACCTATGATGTAAATTATTGTGAAGATTTTTCTACTGTTTATGGGCTTATAATTCAGCAAGCAATCTAGGGTTGTGATGATTTGGTATGTGGTTAGTAAATGACATTTCTTCTACAGCTCAGAATAAAAGCTTTTTCTAAACGGTTGAACTTAAGCATCTGAGTTCTAAAATACTGTTTCTAGATCTTTTTTCACACGCTATGAGTTTATATAGCAGTTATGTACTTCTCCTTCAATTATCCTGAGCAAGGAATATGTTTGTAACTTCCAGACCACTGACAACAACTGCAACATGGATCAATAGCCATACTGAAAACCTCATTTGTATTAAGAACAACAGATGCCGAAGACTTAAAGTCAATGAGTCTACTGAAAAGCTTACAGCTATGCACATCTTCAAATTCCTAACTAAAGCAAGGTCAGCATGGAATTTTTCCACTGTTTAGTCCCAAACATGCAAACACTGGATTTTAAAATCCACCTTTCATTCCTCATTCTTAAGAGTAATAGATTGTAATTGGGCCAATTCAGTTTTTTTAAAAAATATAGATGCTACTGTATGCAAGAGCAGATTTCACTCTCATGTTCTTGTTTGGCATATTGTTATTGCATTCTGAATAATATTTAAATGTTAAAGAACTTTTGAGATAAGTATTCAACACCATTTTAATACTAAAAAATTTCAAATTACAGTTCTGGCATTTATTTCCCATTTTAAGAATTACAAAGGTTAATTCCCTAGTATTAAAAAAAGTAAACATGCACAATATGGGATGAAATCCTGCCCTTCTTCAAAACAATGGCAAACTCCGCGATTTACACTCATAACATTTTAGAACATATTGCTTTTTGATAAATAGAGTCAAGGCTTAAATGTAAATATATCTTTTTGATCTTTACCTTCTCTCACTCGGGGACAATGAAGCTGATTTCCTCGAACATCATGATCTTCTATGTCACACCAGCCAAGATATTTGAAGGAATCAGAAGGAAGCTTAAAAAAAAAAAAAAAGAAAAAGAAAGATACAGAATAATCAGTTAAGGTTTTTCAGCTTCTGGCATTGTGTTTTCTCATATTTCTGATCTTATTGCAATAGAAATAATACTCATACATGTTTGCAACATCTTCTGCCTTAATACCATCTGGTTAATAGCAAAATGACTTCTGGAAGGGAAGATATAATGGCATGCATTTGTATAAGCATATGTATGTAAACACATTTCTGGGCAAGATTACATATAAAATATCCTGAATGCAACTGAGGCACTAAGTCTAATAACAGAAAATCTGCTGCTGCAGATGTATAACCTCATATATGTGAGGTTTCTGTCCATTTTGCTTTTCTGCTAAAACATGTTCTATGATTTCCAGGGCATCAGTCTCCCAGGAGGGAGCAAGGAACAAAGTCTCTAATGCTAGAGTGTGGAGTAGGTGCGAATCGTGTCATGCCCAGCAGACACAACACCATGATTGCCTACAGTGGGGGAAACCTCTCAGTGCAATGCAACCTGGTTATTTGCTTGAAATTCCACCATTTCTTTCACTGGAAACCATGATGATGGAGTCGAGGGGAAAAAAGAGATGGAGCATGCACCTCTGGATCCCTGTCTCCAGTTACAGCTGAGCTATGCACACATCCAGAAGCTGGTAAACGCTGTGGGGATGTTTAGGTGCAGTTTACTACAGCCCCTTCTGGCTTGGAATTGGAATCGGCTCAAATATTGGAGAGAGGTATTCTTACAGAATATCTGTTTTGCTACCTTTCATAACACTGCTGGTTATGACATTTTACAGCAAATGTACACAGTCTCTTCAGGATTTATTAAATCCAGTTCCATGTATAGTGCTCAAACACTTCCTGGGCCACTGAGTCAAATCCCTTGCCACTGCTGACAGTACATCATGTAAACTTATTTATAATAATCTGATCTAGTTTTGGAAGGTACAAGGAGGCAAAACATAATCAGCTTCAAAGCTGAGGAAGAGATTTCAGCCTTAGTTACTGTTTTTCAGTGTTTCTCTTCTATAAACTTGCAACCAGACTAGTAACCCAAACACTTACTGGGGAATGTAGCCCAGAATCACAGTTCTGTCTGACGAATCCTCTGTTTTGGGGCAAAATCGGTGAAATAGTGTGTGTATCACTTAGGATGGAGCAGCAGGATGATAAGGATTTACAAAATTTTTGATTGCTTGTAGTCAGACCTGAGGAGCTAGAGAGGAGATGTTAACCAGTAATCAGTTCTGTTCAGAAAATAGCAAACTATTTTATAACACCAGAAGATGCAGAGTAGCAAGGTGTAGGACTTGCCACCAGACAATAGCCACATCACCCTGAGGTCAAACCATAGATAGGGCAACCCTCTCCAGTCCTTTAATGAGACCTCTCACCTACATATTATTTACTTAAGTGCATAAGGCTTTCACAGATATGTCCACAGATATTACTGGCAGTTTGTTAGAAAAACCCAATCTTGGAGAAAATTTAAGAACTGAACTTGTTCAATAGCATGATATATTTTCTTCTATCCTGTATAGCCCTGTTTTTATGGATCGAGGTTGTACAAAACAATACCTCAATTGCGTATTTATTCTAATCTCTTGAGTCTGTTTTAGTAGACTATCAAGGATCCAAAGAAGAGCTGAGCTTTGTCCAACAGAGCCTTGAAGCCATGTGCTCCTGTGTTTTGCCAGTTTGTAGCCTAAGAACACATTTTGTATACCCCAAATGATGCAATTTCTACAATTGTGCTTCAAAGAGATAGAATAATTTGCAGATTGGCAGCTACAATTTAGAAATCTACTACAGAATACTTCAAAAATATAATTTTAACACAGTGTGTGCATACAGCACTATAACTTGACTTCTACTGTACAAGCTTGGTGAAAGCTTGCCAGAAAGTATCAGCTGTCAGTATCAGCATCATTAAAACTATTATAGTCAGGAGCAGAAATGAGAATAAAAATGAAGCTTTAAAATGGTCTAGTGAGGAGAGTAACAAAAGGTTCATATTGAGTGTAACAGACAAGCTAAATAGAACATCAATTAAAACTTACGGTTACAGATTACTGGCAAATAATCATGAAGAGATGTATTCTGTTGACATTACTAAGATTGCTTGATCAAAACACAATATCCCATTTTTCCTGGCTTTTGCCTGGAAGTGCATACAGACTGGCTGTACAGTACTGACATATGGAACTGCTCCTCCCTCCATGCTTTACGCCTTTTTTTAATGCAATTAAACCAGCCACAGTAAACTGTAGGTGACTTAACGAAAGCTGAGCAACCTCAGCATTTCTGAAAATAACAATTTGCTAAGGCATTTTCAGAGGTCATCTTGAGGCAAACAGTCCATTTTCATGTGTGTGCTGCTACACAATCCCCGTTGAAATGTGGGTTAAAACATTTCAGCTGAACCATTTAACATTATATTTATTCTTTTCTTTTGGCAGAAACTCACAAGATTCTGTATCAGTGACAAAAAAACCCAAACATAAAGTTTCAGAATCAATATGTGATAGACAAGACTTCTCCAATCAGGTGGGTAGTGAGATTTTTATTGGAAATAGTGACAGAAGGAATCATTTTTCATCTCAAAACTGCCTGAGTTTTACAAGCACCAGCTGGACCCTAACATTGTGTCACAGAAGATTTTTCTGAAGGAGCAAGTGCAACACCACTTTTCTCTCCATTGCTTTCTTTTCCTTACTATTTTGCTGCAAAATTGATGCAAAAGAAATGGCAGTGAATGAGGCTGGATGCAATTGCAAACAATTACAGATCACACAATACATGAAAGTAGCAAAATTTTCCCCCTTGATTGTCAAGCCCTTTGGCTGGATATGAATCTCCAACGACACCTCTGGGAGCAGCACACTAGATTATGTGAAGCATTACAAGGAAAAAAAAATTAGATTCATGATGTCTGTCCAGGCTGAGTCATTTCCTCTTTCTTTGCCTGCAGTGAGAAATCAGTGGTTATCATAAATCATAGACCTAAATTCTTATGAGAGTAGAATTAATTTCACTAATGGAAACACTCTGTGGCAATAGCATTTCTCCATTCTCTCTCCTTGGTGGGGGTGAGGGTATCTATGATGTCTTTTAAGCAGAGATATGTGACTATAGTTTAAGAACACTATAAAAGAAGATTGAAAAGGAAACTTAAAATGATAAGGGAGAAAAATTTTGTGTGTGATCAAACTTCTGAGGCTGGCTCTCAGTCTAGTTGTTTGTATCATGGCTACAGCTTTGCCACTGCTATCAAATCCACGTACAAAATTTCAGAATACTCATCAAAATTAAACATCTAAAACCTCCATATGATTAAAACATGATTTCTCCCACCCAGCTGGAGTTGCCAGACTGCAAAGCCAGGCTTAGCAAATTTTCTTGGCTCCCTCTACAATCAGTGGAGACAAATGGGTATGTCCAGATACCCACTTACTCCACTCAGCCTTGATGCCCATTATTTTCAGCTGGAGTGGACCACAGTCTGCACTATCTACATGAGGGCTTCCCTGAGAGTGGACACAACTTCAAGGCATCTGAAGTTTGATGAAGAGGATCTCACCTTAAGTGCCTAAAGGATGCTTTAAAAGAGAAACATTTCTGATCACTTCAGAAAAAGCTCAAGGAAATTATTCTGTTCTGTGTAGTATCAGTGAAATACATAAAATAGCCATTTCATCTAATTAATTGAACAAACAAACAAAAAGATTGTACAAAGCAATTATTTGCTAGCACCTTGATACCTAGAGTGCTGCATATGAGCTGAATAGAGGTAGCACGAACTGTGGGGAAAGTGAAAGTAGTCAGGACTAACCCAATGCATTTTATGCATTTTCCTCAGTGGAAATCCTGGTGCAGAATTAAGCAGCTGAAATATTTTGTAAACTGGAAGGAACGGGTACAGAACTACTACTGAATTTTTCAAAACATGATTTATGAGCTATCAGGCCATATCTTGGAAAATCACGCACTCCTATAGAGTTCACTGATAAAAGTCACATGTTACCAAGAAGTCAGCATCAGTTGTGTGTCAGTGAAACTGATCTGCTTCTCCTCCCACTGACATCTTAGCAAACTTTTCATAGGCAACAAAATGCTATAAAATTTTCAACTGCAGTGCAAGTACATTTGAGTCAAGATGACTTTAAGGGTAGAATATATTAAAAGCCCATGAAATACTTTGAAGAGCTAGCTGAGCTACTTCTGAAACTACAGCAGTAAAAGATGCTCTGAGTGAACATTCCTCCTGTGTATTATTTCAGATATTTGGCTGTTAAGAAAAGACTGTCAGTTAAAAGACTCCTTTCTCCTGGTACAACCAGCAGCCTCGATAAACAAACGTCTTAGACTCTACAACACAGGTTCAGCTTTGCCTCATAGAAAATGGCAAATGGAAAGGTCAGTGGAAGAGGAGTAAAGCAAACTTTTGCAATTGGAATTTGAAAAGCTTTTGTCCCAGTGTTCTGAGCAGTTCTGGGGTCTGGTCTAGCTTCCAGTAGTCTTATCCCCAGCTACTCTTCATGAATCAGCAGCCCCAAGCAAGCTTAGCTTTCACTGAACCATGGCTGCTTTCCCTGTGAATCTGAAATGCCCTTGATAAAAGATTTGGGAACAAGTAGTAGGGCTATTTATACTACTTCTTCACTTATTCAGAGTCAGAATTCCTATGGTGCTTGCCACAGCTTCCCATCCCACAAACCAGAGCACATACAAGATGGAAAGGCCTTTACGCTCTCACGTGGTTGACCTCAGTGGAAATCTGGTCAGACAGCTATTGAACAGCAAAGTGCTCCAAGCTCTTTCAGTCCTGCTACTGTGGCAGTGAAAAATATGGATCATTCTAAAGGAATCAAATCTGATGAATTTTAAGATCTTCTTTAAGAAATACAAAGAAAGAACAGAGAAAAGGGCAATAAAACCTTCCAGCGAGAAGAGTTCTTATATTTAGGTCAGAGCTGCTGATTTTGCATAGGCTCCAAGATAGTTGGTTTCAGATCTGTATAAATCACTTGCACAAACAACTGTTTGCTTGCGTGATACAAACACCCAGTTATTTACATTGTCTCAGTCAATTGCATATGCCAAAGCTGATCAACAAAATGAACTGCAGAGTTAACTTACAAATGCAATTTGTATAGGTATTTAAAAGGCAGGAAACTCAGCATTCAGGCTGTGTTTTGTTCAAAATGCACACAATTTACTGCTATGTAGCAGCTGTTGCTTGTAGGCAAACATTTATTAGGAGAACTCTCTGAACTTTGAATAGTAGAGGGCTTGGACATAGTGTTTCCATGCTCTATTACCTTTCAATTATTTTTATAGGAGTTTTATGAGACATTATGCAACATTTTGAAGCAGTCCTTTTGAGCATAATTTAGTGACAAACACACCTGTAAGTTACGGTTACAATACATCCTCGCTGTTAACTGTATCATCAATTATTTGGCTTTATGCATCACAAAATTGCCTCCCAAAAGATATAATTAACATGATTAGGTCTTATCGCCATAATTATACATTCCTAGCATATTAACTAACATTCCATGCGGCTCTTCATGGATCTAACATGCAATGATACAGATTCCACATCTCAATCAATGTGCCTTTCACACATTTTTACAACAAACTATACATGTTTGTTGAGACACCTTTTGTCTTTCAGTAATCTGCCAGTGATACCAAGAAAAAAACCCATTTTTCTTCCTGTTTTCACTGCACAATGATCTCCATCAGCTATACAGGTTGGTACATTTTAAAAAGACACTCAATCCTGTAACACTATCTTTGTTGTCAAAGCATGTCAAGCCAGCTGTGCAATGACTACAGTTACTTCTCCTCTTTCACCCTCCTACCTTTCAGACATGTCTTGCTGTTGCATAAAATCCTCACATCTTGCATAAGGCTATTTGTCTACAGTCAAAGCTTATCTTCCCATCTTTGCCCCTGCGTAAAGAGGCAGCTCTACATCCTCTGAAGAGAGATAACCTGCAAGGATCCTGGCTGTGGCTGTATGCATTCACTGTCTCCAAGGAAACACTGTCACCTCGCAACGCAGTCACGTTAGGAGGTATTGTTACCAATCTCTTAAGC